ACATATTGGAATACGCACGGAGTATCTCCAAATTATTAAAGAACGTGGACAGAATTTAGATGAAGCTTTACCTAAACTCTCTACAGATAAATTGCATGTACTAAGAAAATTTTGCCAGTACAGAAACAAGGATGTTCAAATTTGACTATGCCAAACGTACTCACAGAGAGAAATGGAGAAAGCAGGTTACTGAACAGTCCCTGAACTAGTATGACTTACGTAGCTGTGGCACTAAAGGGACAGCTTTAGGAAAACAAACAAGCAAACAACCCTACAGCCAGGAGATTTGCACAGATTTCCAGGGACCGAGATGTTCTGGGTTTGCAGACTTTAAAATCGAGAATATCCCAAGCAGTATTAGCAGGGCTAGGGTTGCAGATCTTGGGAGGCTTCATTTTCAGAGATCAATTCAAGACAAGCTGTACCTTATTTGAAAGCTGTATTAACTCTGGGCACGCAGATTTACACTAATCCCCTACTTTTTTTTTTTAAATAAGCCACACCCACCCATAGGTGTTTTTTTCGACACACGTAGTCTCACATATAGGACTTCTAATTTAAAATAAGTCTACCAGGAAAAAAAAAGAATTAATAGATGAGCATATAAGACAAAATAAAGTTTAAATATATAATAAGAAAGAATTGATAACTAATTTTCCATCCACAAACTATTTCCTTTTGATTAGACTAAAATATAAAAAACCAGCAACTGAATATTAAAGAAACATATTTTTCAGAACTCCAGAAACACAAACACAATGCCTTTACCAATCAGTACATCCTTAAAGGCTTTAATCGCAAATATTTCACATTATCTGATAAAACGTAAAGCAAAATGTAAAACATGAGATATTTAAAGATGCAGATATAGCAGCTGAGGAAAAGAGCTCCCGGCACAAGCCTGCGAGGGGTAGTGTTGGCTTGTATGGTTTATAAGCTATATAGACTCGCAAGCTTTGTAGCGTAATCAAAACGTTTTGGTGTCTCTACATTTGCCACAGTATGCATTTCGTGCAAATAGTATCTTTTTCCGTTTCTGAGATGCTACTGAAACATTCCTTAAAAATTAATCCCCCTCTCTTACATCCATCAAAGCTATTCTTTTAGGAGGATCTGTAAACCCACAGCCTTGGTGTTGCACCATCTCCACCTGCAAGCACTTGAGCATTTATTTGAAGACCAAACAGTAACTTTAGTTTTCAGAAACTTGAAGCTACAATCAGAAAAATAGAAAGATATTGCTGTGCGGCTCTCTCACTTTCAACAGACTCTCCTGAGTCCTCCTCCTGAGAGGTCTTCCTCACCTCAGGAGGGAAGCTAAAAGGTTTCTGAACCATCATCTCAATGAGGGAAGAAAGTAGCCCCCTGATAGTATGCGCTCTTTAAAAAACCACGTAGATAAAATGCAAGTCCCCCAAACATGCTGAGTCAGACCTCAGCATGCACTTGGTTTACATTTCTCAGGAGGAAAAGTTTAAAAAAACCCACCAAACCAACCCCACACATACCCGTGGCACAGCAAGTGTGCGAGACAGCAGAGGCAAGTCGCAAGAGCTCAGCGTGGATGGTCACCACTGAATGCGATCCCGAAAGAAAGTGCTAACTCATAAAATGAAAGGGGTGAGTGCAAGGATCAGGTTTCTTCAAAGAAGAGTTACGCAAGTTGCTGCCTTTACCTCTGCATATCGCAGAGTCACCAAGTTGAAAGTTTGCTCTTTCTAAAGCCATCAATTTTATTGCTAGTGTAGGCAGGGTGTGCTGCTGTGAGGAGTGCTGCTATAGCTGAGTACCAAACCTTCTTTTCAACTTACACACAACGGCATTAAGCATTGGAGGTCTTGTCTTTTCAGCTTAGGAAACACGTTGACTTAGCTGAGCAATTCATTTAGACAAAACTTTTTTTTTTTTTCTTTTAAGGGTGTTCCTTTGTTTTTAAAGGTTGGGGTTGTATCACTTTTAAACATTACGCTGGCACTATTATTTCCTTAGACTAGTCAACCATTGGTAAAAGACATATCTAAAGTTATCAGCGGGGTGAGGTAGTGAAGTAGAGACATCGCTTCAAAGCTCTATACAAGACAAAGCGTATATAGTATAGGAAAAATATTTTCTCTTTCAGAGTGAAAATAAGTATCACGTAAAAAGGTAACAGCTTTGTAGATTGCTGTATGTATCATTATAGTAAGTGATTAAAATGCTGATACATTTTTATCCTATCACAGGACATTTTATACATTTTTTTTTCCTTTTGAATTAAAGTGACTGCCTGATCCTTGTATCCCTCCCATTCTCCTGATTTTCTTTTCATTGGATTATGACTCGGTTGAGTCCCCATCCCTGGAGGTATTTAAAAGACGTGTAGATGAGGCGCTTAGGGACACGGTTTAGTGGACATGGTGGTGTTGGGTTGACGGTTGGACTCGATGATCTTAGAGGTCTTTTCCAACCTTAATGATTCTATGATTCTACTAGGATTATTCTTTAAAGAGCTTTATCTAATGATATTAGCAATCCAAAATTCACTGTTTCCTCAGAGGCACATCTAAAAAGTAGCACTAAATGCACGTTAGTCTACTACACTTTTGCCTTGGGAAAGCGACCAGCCTTACAATTTAGTCCCCATATAAGCTGTTTTCCCATATTCTGAATAACTTTGTCAATGCTATTTATTTACAATTCCTAAAATAAAGTAAAACGAATGAAAAAAAAGCCTACCAGAGAATTCCAGAGTGAAGTCATAAGGTTCAAAGCCCAACCCTTTTGGTTTTTTGGCTTTCCCCACTTGTATACTACAAACAACAAATTATAGCACACAGGGAGCTTAGATACTCCATAGCAACTTCAAAAAACAGTGTTAAAATAAACGCGAGAAAAACTGGCAGTTTAAATCATTCCTAGAAAAGAGAAATGACAGCAATGCTTGCAGAACCTTTTCTGCACTGGAGTTGCTTAACCACATTTCTACTCCCTCAGTCACAGTAATGTGGCTCCAGAAATTCTTCTTCATACATAAGACTATTCCCCTTTACCTTAATATTAACATTAAACTTCAGAAATTAACTGGCTTTTAATTTGATTTCCTGTTGTTTCCATGTTCCTTGCTATGCAATCCATGAAGTTTTTTTACTTAGAAGTCAAAACAATTCAACACATTCATGACCTCGGTACGTGCAGTTGGTTGCACTTTGTACTGTAAACACATACCTCTTTTGGATCTCGCATTTCCAGCTCTTACTCAGTGACTTACAGTTTTATCATAAAGATTTGGCTGTACTTGTAGTAACTCGTAGCTACCCTTTTGCTTCAGACAAATGCTGCATCTCTGTTCAATTTTTCTTTTTGATTAGTCACGGTGTTAGCGTTACAGTACACATGCCGTTTCAGTATTTGTGAATGACTGCTGTTCTCTAAATATATGTCCTCTTGCACATTAGCTAACCTTCTAATGCTAAAGGAGCTCCATTAATGTGGAGGTATCCAGGTTTTACACTGGGGTAATCAAGGTACAATAAACTTCCAGACCTCTACCTTCTTCTCCTGGAAGAATGTGTTACGAGAGCTGTATCACCCAGGTAACGGCAGGACTAATACATTACATATAGATGGTATCATATGAAAAGCAACAGTTAATCAGCAGTCACAGGCCAGAATTCTCTGAAGACCTCCCGACAGGAAAGACAGAGGGCCATTAGCAGCATGTAAAGGAGGAAAACATGGATGGGAAATAGCAAAAGAAATTAAAATCCCATTGAGAGAGAGACGGTTAATACGTACCGTTGACTACTTTTAAATGGCACACCACAATGTATATTTCGCTGACAGTGTATCAGTTTAATTTGAGAGACTGTCATTAGTAAAATTAAGACTTTCCCAAATTACACTTTCTTCCCATTAAATCACACAGCAGTCTTTACCAGTAGCACTGAGAAGGTGAAGAGGGACGTACATTCTTTTCTTTTTTTTTTTTCTTCTTATAACTTTAGAAGTACCGGCACCCAATGAAGATACTAGGCAGTATCTCCCCACGAGGCATAATTAAACTGCGGACTTCTTATAATTAGAAGTACCGGCACCCAATGAAGATACTAGGCAGTATCTCCCCACGAGGCATAATTAAACTGCGGAAGTCACTGTCATAGGGTGCACCAGAGGTCAGCATTTCAAGCAGGTTCAAAAAGGGACTGGCAAATTCAGAGGCTAAGTCCATGAGTGGCCAGTCGACACGCTGCTCCAGTGGCAACATCCAGCTCAGGAACCCCCTGAACCGGCTGCCGGGATGCGGAGTGAGAGGGGAAATTCCCTACGCAGCCACTGCTGGCCACTGACGGAGGCTGGGTGCTGAGGTAGATGCAACCTTGAGCTGATGCAACACGGAGATTTTTGCTGTATCATCGATGGAAAAGTTACATAAGAAGACACATTACGCAAAAACATGTAACATTTCTTCTTTAAGCTGCAACCATGGTTTGTAAGCCACGCATTAAAATGCCCTGTCTGCAGATTGCATTGTACTTCTGAATTCCTAAACTGACTGGGAAATCATCTACAGAGCTTCACAAAACCAAAGGTAATCTGAGAACGTGGTACCCCATCTGAATAACCTTAGCCACAAATTTTGAAACAAGATATGCCCATTTACGTCACTGGTTAAATACACATCTGCCACCAGGGTACAAGTCAAAAAAGCCTAGTCTCTCACAATGAGCTTCACCAAACAATGCATTTGTGTCCCTAGATTTTGGGCTTGTGATTTATGTAGAACTTAGATGAACAGTGGCCATAATACACAAAGAGATTAATTTACCATTAGTCTAACTTATTTCAAGCATTAAGATAAACCTCAAGGAACTGGAGAACATTTCACAGCGTATTAAAACACGACACTGCTAGGTGAAAGCTGAGACTTCTTCAAAAGAACATAGTATGAAAGTATCAATTAGAATCTACTGGCAAAAAACATCTAAAATATTGTTTGCTTTTTTCTTTAATTTCTATTTCAACAAACTCTCCCCTCCAATTTTCTAAAATGTGTTATCAAAAATCTGCAGTGTATTACATAATTGTGTCACAAATTAAGTTGCTTGCTCTTCTATTAAATGTATTTATTCAGCCAGTTGATCATATCCTTTCTTCCTTCCTCAATATAAGGCTTATCTTGAGGACTGATATCTTCTCCTCTGCGATGTACAAAACCATGAGTTTGTCCAGGATAAATTTTAACTTCAAAATCGACTTTACAATTTTTCTTTAGCTTCTGCTCCAGCAGGGTGATCTGTAATATAGAGCACAGTAGTAGTTACATTAACATAGCCATATTCCATGCTGCCGGTCCTCAGCTTATTCATAGTTCAACTCCCTAATTTATCATTCATGCTAGACACTAATAACCATGCTCCATATGGGCAAAACAGAAAGTAAAATTACATAAAGAAAAAGACCTTTGCAGTAAGGGTCTAGAAAATTTGTTAGAATATAAAGGCAGGTCCAACGATCTGCAAAGATATGGACATAAAAAAAGTACTTCCTATATGTGAAATATATGACAATACTAAATACACTACACCTGAAGAAAAAGCTTCTAACAGACACCTATGGATGCCATTCAGCATATCCTACGTTGTTTATGGGTTCCTCGGACCAACAGAAAACAAAGTCATACAGCAAAGGATAGCTCCCAGAGTAGAGTACTCCAAAACAGCAATGGGATTTTGATAAAACTTTGTTACCTGGGTTACTAGCCATACTTTTACAAAAGAAAAGAGACTTAAGAAAACAAACAAAAAAAAAAGTTTTCATTCTTTGCCTAGGTTACATTAGCCCTTCTATGTCTAGCTCCATTTTTCTGCTTATTTTTTGACCTTCAAGCACTATTATGAGGCTGACTTTTGACTCCCAATTCAGGATGGAAATATAAACATGCAGAAATGAAAGAAGATGGAGGTTATTAGCATACTTGATGAAGAGGAATGAAGTCATCTTTTTCAGCAAAAATGAAAAATGTAGGGTTCAGGAGATTAGATATATCATCAGAATCCTTGATTAGTCCTAGAAAACATTAACGAAATAAAAAAACCTCTTCAATTGACTTTTAAGGTGAAATCCAGATTCAAATACAGCACTCTGCTTCTGCAGTGAAAAGCTTTCATGCCTCATGCAATATGTAGCCATAAATATTAGCTTTACTTTCAAGCTACTGTAACCATGGATCCTAGAAGAATACCCTCCTAGATTAAAACTCTATTTAAGCCAGTTTCTTAAGATACAGACTGAATATCTGAATTAATAAGACGTGAAAGATGCCTTCTGTGCATACAAGCTTGAGTTCTTTTGAACTGACTGGGAAAGTCAATGCTTCAGTAAGTAGACCAAAATTTACATTCTGAGAACGTTAGCAAAGGGCAGCTTAGCTATCCCGGCTTCTTGAGCAGAGCATAAAAGGAAAGCCAGTGTTAAAATAACCACAATCTAACTTTACAGAGTAGCTAGATCAAAAAAAACCACTCTCTGCTCCCGCGTGAAGTTCTAGCTCTGCAGCATGCAGAGCAGTAGTAAACAGGAAAAGGGAGCTAAATTGGGAAGGTGACCAAAGAACAACATGTCTGTCCGTCCAGACCTGAAATAAAGACATGGCTGCTATGACCATTCTGAAACTAGGAACAAATATCCTCACCACCATCTTCTTTCCATACTATTCTTCCTACTCTGCTGAAAATAGACTAGACTAGAATAGAACAGAATAGACTATTTCTGTTGGAAGGGACCTACAACGATCACCTAGTCCAACTGCCTGACCAGTTCAGGGCTGACCCAAAGTTAAAGCATGTTGTTAAGGGCATTGTCCAAATGCCTCTTAAACACTGACAGGCTTGGGGCATCGACCACCTCTCTAGGAAGCCTGTTCCAGTGTTTGACCACGCTCTCAGCAAAGAAATGCTTCCTAATGGCCAGCCTAAACCTCCCCTGGCGCAGCTTTGAGCCATTCCCACGCAAAATACCTCTCTTGATCAGCTGACAGCCTGATTTGAAGAAATAATGCTAGATCAAGTACTTAAGCTACACAATATACATATGCATATGTACCTGCTTGTACTACACCCTTGTATTTACCTACCATAGAGAGACACACCAGCCTTCAATTCTGGGTATGTCATCATCAGGTGATGTACAGCAATACCACCCCAGCAAAAACCAACAACCCCTAACTTCTTTGCACCACACTGTTCCTTCAGATATTTCAGGACAGCATCAGCTTCTCTGGAATATATAAGCAAATGCAAATTAAGCACCCATAGTAAAAACAGTATTTGAAAATATGAGAAGAAAATGTAGATATGCATGTAAGTGTCCCCATATCATGCTGCTACTATATTTTCTTTCATATACTTTAAATAAATCATTATTTCAGACAAATATTAGGGGTTGCTAATCTGAAATCATCAGAAAGCGAAAAAAACAAGAACTGAATGGAATTAAATAAAAATGCAACATGAATAACATACATCGAAGGAAACCTAAAGGGATAGAAAGTAGATGATTGATTAAACACCTACCTAAGAGTTAAAAAAGCTTAAAATTCTCTGAGAAGCTGGATGAATTTTAGCTTTGTAAATGTAGATAGAAAAAGTAATAAAAATCTCTCTAGAGAATACTATTCGTTAGACAGTCAAAATGCTGACAATAACTGTAAGTTAGCATCTGAGATATTTGCTGCAGAGAAGTCAATGTAACAAACATGGTAGATGTTTTCAGAATTTACAATGTAGCTTGAAATACACCTTGCCCAGATGCTGTGTTCTGAAAACACCCATTTACCCCTGAAGCAGGTGTCACCACGCAGAGGCAGTAAAGAGAAAGTATTGGTGGGAGAGAGATAGCAGTTAAGTCTTCTGTATCACCTCAAGACTCTATTTTCAGCCCCAGTTCCTTGCGCCCTGGGGCACGCAAGCTATATACGCCATCGATACATCAGCCTCGCAAATACCACATTATTTGCCAACACACAAACACACACAGAAGCAAATTAAGTGCCAAAAAACTCTTTCTTCACTGGAGCTGACACTTGAAACGTGAATCGCCTGTAAGAAATACCAGGCAGAGCCCAACCGTTCCTTCCCATTGCAGCAGAGAGGGGACAGATTCCAAACTAAAAAGTTTCCACGACAACTGACCCCTCTGAGACAGGAGCTCTCTGGAAATGATTCAGTTAGTCTCCCATAACCTTCTCACCAAATACCTAAGCCCAGCAACCTTCAACGTCGCTACTCCCAACAGTCCAAGAAAGATATCTGCTCTCCCAGCAAGTTAATTAGTTTGGTCTCTAATTAGTCTGACCCCTTCTCAGTATTGCCTTGCCAACAGCTTCCTTCTGTGTTATTAAGGCAGCAGAGCACCGCTGCTACTGACGGGTCTTTGCTCATAAATGCTCGGGCAGTGTTGCACACAGGAGGGGAAGGCATGATCTCTTTGGGGGCAGGACTAAAACAACAGATGACTTTACTTGCTAACAAGTTAAGATTAACCAACAGCTTAAATTCAAAGCTAACTGGAAGCCATGACAGGCCACAGATCACTGTCTGCGCTGTGTTCCTCAAGGACTGCTTCATATGTGAAGCACTAGCTTCTGTTTCTCAATGGTCCCTATGCACACTTCTTCATTAAGGACATGAGGGTCATTTATCATACAAACAGCCAAATGGCTGCAGGGCAGTACCCCTACACAAGGGTTTAGAGGCCAGAAGATTCTAGTCCAAGTTACAGAGAAGAAAACACCTTTGCTTGGCAAAGGACCTTGGCATCCTGTAGCAGCCTGAGTTCAACAGCCCAAGAACATACCTGGTCTACAAACAGTAGCAAAACCCTTTCAATGAAGAGCAGCAGTTGGTACTTGCCTACTATTTCAGCTGTTCCAGCTGTCATTCTTCCTTCCCCCTTCAAATGTTTCATCTTGTTTGGTTTTGAGTCAAATTTGAGAAACTGTCTGTCAGTGTCCCTTCTAGTCACAGAGTTTTCTATCACTCTGCCTAGGACATAGGCAATAACCAAAGACTCCCAAGTGTTATCAGCATGCTGAAGAAATCAGTCCTATTCCTCTCCAGAGGTGGTGTCTTTCTGCTGTGAGAAGACATGATAATTTGGACCACATGGTCTGCCTTTGAGGCAGAGGAAGAAGCCCTTAAGCTACCTGTTAGATTCTCTCAGGAAAGAGCAAAACAAGAGGTGCTGCAAACACTGCTGTAGTTCAGGAAGACGCCAGTAAAGTCTGTTTCAAAATCTGCAGGAGAAATCTAAAACAGGTATTACAGACTCCATTACTAGAAGGAAATTATGAGTTAAGGAAACCAAAGGGCATTCTAATATAACTGGGCTGATGTGCATCCCGGAAATCTGAGTGATCAAGAAAACGCCAACACTGCTGAATACAACTCAGCTATCGGTCAGCTATCCTAACATGCAGGAAAAGGGATGCAGTTACACCAACAGCTGGACAGAACTGGAACCAACAGTTTCTTCAGCAGTGGTGCCAGGATAACATCTTTAGGAGCTAATGAAGATGTCCTTGATCCCACTAATTACAAGAGCATACAGTCTGCACGTAAGTGCAGGCTTATACCTTTCCCTTGGCCTTTGCTAAGCCAAGAGTTTGACTCTAAGGTTGTAGCAGCAAACAGCTCTGCTCTCCCACTGCTACGTAGCTGTGCAATATAAACTAAGGTGCTAGCAGAGTACTCTTGCCTTATGTTGTCCAAAGTTAGCGGTTTTTTTCAAGGCAGCCAACACACCATGAGTTTAAATCACAAAAAACTTGGTCTTAAAAATTCTTCATAGTGAAAAGAAGAGGCTGCATGCCAAATCTGTGTTCAGGGCCCCAAACACATCCACTCCTCCCTCCCCCAGGGGTTTGCTGCCAGGACCCAGAGTCAACCTGGAGATAGTGCAGGTGAGGGCTGCTCCATTCCCTCTAGTGACCACGGGGAGAGGCTCCCAGACAGTGCTGTGGGGCAGCCTCAGCAAGGGCTGACAACCCCTGTCTGCATGGGATTTGCTTTTAAGCTGAGGTTCTGCCATTCGGCCTTGCTTGAGCTACAGTTCCCACTCTGTCGCAGCCATGCCTGTGCCTGGCCATGGGCCCTGTTGATCCAGACCCCTGTCCAGATCATGGACCACAGACTCACTTCCCGGCTTGGCCTCAGCCCTGCCACATCACTACAGACCTGCCTGGTGATCACTGGACTGTATCTGATACTGGTTAATGTCTCCGGACCTGCCTGCCCCTGCCCCCAACTTCCGCATTCCCAGCTTGACCTCAGACCTGCCTCAGTTGACCCTGGCTGCCATCCTGCTGCCTGCCCTGCCCATCTTTCTGGAGTACCGTGGGATAGGGCCCTGGCACTGCCAGCTGATACTCCTCTTGGCTCCCAGCACCCTGCCCCCTAGGGAGCCGCCAGCCCTCACTGCGCCCTGACAAGAGATGATCCAGCCATCAGCTACCTGGCGCCAGTTACACCATGCTGGGCAAGGACGATGGCACAATAAGAAACTCTTTTCTTCTTTCCATACAACATCTTAAAGTATCACTCTCTCACACTTGGTGAGAGTCAAGATGAGGATTATGCTTTCTCACTGCTTGTGTCACTGGTCATTTTTAAACCATGCTTTTTGAGGCAGAGGAAGCAATTAGCAGTCTACGATATCAATAACAGATGACAAAACTCTTCACTAAGCCACTACTGAGAGAGTTGTCCTTGAACTTCAAGGCAAAATAAAAGGTCACTGATTCCATCCACTTCTAAGGAGTCATTAAAAAAAGGCCACCTTCACTGGTAGATTAGCTGCATCCAATCTCAAAAAAAAAAAAGGGGGAGGGGGGGGAAGCAATATCTGACAGCAGCAGGCAATGTGATACCCAGCTCCCTGACATCTTACTTGTTTATTTTCCTGGCATCTCGAGTTTTCAGCCAATCATCAAACTTGGACCAGTCATCAGAAGGCTTCCAAGCTTCTCCTCCTGCAAAAAAGTCTGGGCAGATGGCTCTGCACACACAGACACACACACAAAAACATCAAAATTGATCGAATTAATCAAACACTGAGATTTTTTTGGCCCTTCATAGCATGGAAAGTTTCTATCCAGGCATAATTTTTTTGATTTCTTTTTCCTGAGAAAGTAATGTTTTTAAACATCATTGTTAACTATTCTACAGAAATGCCTATGAGCTTTAGAAAACATTCATAGGAATCTATATAGGCTTTTTTCAATGACTAAACCACATAATACAATTTGTGATACAAATCTGGAAAATTTAAATATTTTTATCCCTAGTATTTTACCTGTTTTGAGTACATAATTTGAAACTATATACAGTAAAACAATAGATTATCTTGTAAAGGATGATCAAACTAGGTCCTGATTACAACAATTTTCAATTTTGCATACAACATAATACCATTTAACATAAATCCATCGTTAATGGGTTCCATTTAAACAAAGACCATTACATAAAATAATTATTTATTACAAAGCACATCATGAGGCTTACTTATGAGCTAGGGGAAAAAAAAAGCAAACACCTGATGGACTGAAGTCAGCAAAGAACAAGTGAAGGGAAAACATGTGGGAAGAAAGGGAGGAGTGTTTTACCGCGGACATCATTTGGTGACTGGAAAAAGGGAAGTACAGTAAGAGTCCACTCAGTACTGAAGAGTTCCTGCATCACAGGGGTGCCCAAACCCTGGCTCGGGATGACCTCAGCTGAAATGTGTTGCAGGACCAGCAGCAGAGTTGTGATGGTGCAGTCACGAGTGGATAATACAGTCTCCTCATGCAGAAGGAAACAAGCAGGAACTCTGGAGGCTGCCATCACTAGGTCACCCCCAGATGCTGCTGTGTGTTCTCCCAAGCCCAGCCCACAGGGAAGCAATGGGATCCCTGGGAAACTGCTATCATGTTTCACTTATTAAATGCCTTTGGCTCTCTCCCTCCTCAGACACACAGTCTGTATCTCAATGATCACAGTGAAATGACTGGATCAGTTTGGCCTAAAGCTGACCAAAGTATGTTGCAAGCATTTTTATTTTTTTTACTGTGTTTGATAATTTCTGTGAAAAAAAAACCACAGCGACACCCACAGCATACTTGTGTTTGTAAAGATATGGGCAAAATTGCACAGCCTTTGGATAAGTACCTGTCAGAAAGGCTATGTATTGTTTTGAAAGTGAACCTTCCCAAGCCCACATAGAACAGGTGCTTCCCCATTCAAACTAGCCTGGTAAGACACTAAGAGCCATCAGTCTCAATGTGGTCTCTGAAATACAGTTCTCATAGCTCCTCATTCCTCATCCCACTAGGAAAAAGTCCAGCTATTTTCCTCTCAATAAACATTGCTGCACTAGGCACTAGTCATCTTGAAGCAATTAGGGAAGACACACACAGCCTCTCTTCATTCAGACACTACTGCCTGAAAACTCTCAGCTCTCCTCCTGCCTAGAGCAATGGAAACACCAGCCTTCTTCCCTTAACCACTGCGGTATTAGCAGTACAGGGATAAGTACCTGTCAGAAAGGCTATGTATTGTTTTGAAAGTGAACCTTCCCAAGCCCACATAGAACAGGTGCTTCCCCATTCAAACTAGCCTGGTAAGACACTAAGAGCCATCAGTCTCAATGTGGTCTCTGAAATACAGTTCTCATAGCTCCTCATCCCATACTGCACTAGGAAAAAGTCCAGCTATTTTCCTCTCAATAAACATTGCTGCACTAGTTCAACAGCATCTTGAAGCAATTAGGGAAGACACACACAGCCTCTCTTCATTCAGACACTACTGCCTGAAAACTCTCAGCTCTCCTCCTGCCTAGAGCAATGGAAACACCAGCCTTCTTCCCTTAACCACTGCGGTATTAGCAGTACAGGTGGAGGGAAAGAAGGTATTACAAAAAGAAGTATGACATAGGATGAATCACAGGGAAAAATTACAGGAAGTAAGACAGTGTGGAGAAATACCAATTCATCAGACACTGGGTACTTTTGACTGAGCAGACTCTTACCGTAATAAGGAAGCACACTGTCATACTAGCGATTTGCCAGTATCCTGCACAGCATGAAAGGTATACGTCCAGTCTCACGTTGAGAATCATTGCATTTGGTCACAAGACAAACATACTTCCAATCATGGAGCAGAATAGGGGATGTCAAGTCCTCAGGACAGACAGTAGCAAGGAGCAGACTATAGACCAATTCATTGTTCCAGCGTATCAGAAAACGCTAATCCTCAGAAAGGTGGTATCTTTATCTTGCAGAGACACAGAGCTCCTTTCAGCTCCACAAACAGATCTCAGCCACATGGCAACTGTCTGCTGACATCTGACTTCCCTCATGCTCCATAGGCTGACAGCATTAAAGGCACCGTGTCTCAAAACTAGACCACTACAGAATTAGGTGGAGGTTTGCTTTTTGGAACCACAGGCCAGTCCCAACCCTATATGAATGTTTGTAATGTATACTGTAAATAGAGTACCTTGCAGCATATCCAGTTTTTGCAAGATGTTGCTGCATTTACCTGCTGTAGGGCACCAAAAACAAGTGTCAAAGATTTGCAGGGGGGAAGGGGATTGTATTTAATACTCCATGTGTGCATATGAATGATTCATATGCACATATTCAATGTACATATTCAAAATATAGTACATTCATTCATATTTCTGCTGATGACAATTTTTTAAAATCCCATCATATAATTTAGCTTGAATGACTGTTTATTTTAAAAAGACTTCTAAAAACAGAATACACAGTTCTGTTTCAGAACACACTTTTTTAAAGCCATCTCACATTGCTGGGAAAATTACCAGAATCACTTTTTACTGCATCGTGTTTTCAATATTCTATGCATTCTACGTGTGCAGTCACTTCCTCTGTAAACAGCAAAGTATGAAGGAAGCATGCTGTACTCCGCAACATTTCACAGCAAAGTTCCTCTGTGGTTTTGTATTATGGAAATATATCACTCAAACCGCCCTGGTAATAGTTTCCTCTCATGTATGGGAATAACAGTTCTAACGTAAGGCTAGAAATCATAAAGAGTGGGATTTCTTGGCCAAGAAAAGATTTCTTACATGTATCCATTAGCCGCAAGCATATCAGCCATGTATCTGGTGTTTGGGAGTTGCCATCCAAATATATCGTGAATCACAACCACAGCTTTGTCTGCGCTGGCAGGTGCTTTGCAAACATACGCCTTGATGTGCTCAACTTGTACTTCCTGCCCACAACCCTCATAGTCAAACCTGTCTCCAATACCACATGGGCAAGGCCTCGATTCATTAGCCATCTAGGAATCTGCAGGAAAGCAAAAAGGACAAACAGTAATATAATTTGTTTGCAGTAACAACTATCGTTACGGGTCATAATCTTCATGCAGTCCCCACAGTCCCCTCCAGACATCTAGTAATACCCACTTGATACTGCAAGGTTAGAAGTGAAAGCTCCAGGTGTTTATTGTAAACAGGCTTTTGACACCAGCCTGCTCTGGTTCCCAGAAATATTCGTGAATTCCAGGTCAGTCAGCATAACCCAGAAGTGCGGTAAGGCCAGAAGAAGGGCTTATGTCAGTCCACCATTCCTAGTTTTGTGCCTGGAACAATCCAGCATGTGATAACTACATTTCCATGTGATGTCCCCATACACTGTGCTTCATAATCATTCTTCCCAATGTGGTCTTACAGCTCCTCCTCACAGGCTGGCACCTGGTAACCTCTTGCTGTTACTCCTGTGAGACACCACTGTCAGCATGCTGCTTTTCTGACTACTTTTTCCCTTCAAGTTTTCATTGTGCATGTCCCCTTTCCCTTCCTCCATGGGGAATCCAAGGCTGCTGCTGCTGCCTACGTGCACTTCGCTGGTCCCTTGTATACCCTGCTCCATACAGCCCTTTCCCAGGGAACCCATCGTTAACTGGCATCTCAAAGTTCTAATAAATCAACTCGAAGAAGGTAAATCAGCAGAGGGTTTTCTCTGAGAGTCACACACTATGTAATCTGAACTGAGAGTGGTCAGAGGAATACAGAGACATACACTAGTGTTGTGCATATAACATATCCTCATACATCACAGATACCTAACTTCTCTAGAAGTATACATTTTAAAGTATGAAGTGAAAACTACTCCATTTCCTCCTCAAGTGAAGAAAGGTTTCCAAAGAGTTTATGTCCTAAGAGGTCTTCTCAGAAGAATCCCTCAAGCTCAGTTTAATTTCTTGTTCCTTTCAACTGGAGATAGGCCGCTATAGCGTCTTTTTAAACCTAACTGACATTTGGTACCCCCTACTCTTCCCCCTCCACCAAGCAGTATGTAGTCATACACAGAGCCTTTTTTCTACCCTAGTCTGAGAAGCTGTTTAACCTAGCTCTGCTGCCACTCTTAACCAATCAAAATAGCACTGTTTGCTTATTAACAAGAGCTAGTCCCTCTTCCCATGTAAATGCATGCACTGGAACAATATTGCTTGGTCTGGCTGGTCCCCTTACTAAAGTGAAATGCAGCATGCTGGCAATAAAAATCAAATGCACTTTTCAATGCTTAACTATTTTTTGTTAGGAATATATATTAACCATTTATTCCCTTCTAGATTTTCTAATTCAAACAGATGTCAGATAAGACCTTTAATACACTTCCAATACTCTCTCCCCTCTTCAATTTCTCTGCTACAAATGTATGTAACATGGTAAATGGTATTAAAAAAAACACAAGAAAACACAGTGAACAACAAAACAAATTACTCCAAATCCTGCCTCTTTATGCCAGTTATGCTCTTCTCACAGGACATGCTTTGGGGTGATACATGGGGAGGTTCCCAGCACCAAGAACTGGCCCCCTTTAAGGATGTCTCTCAACAGTGCGTTTTTTGAACAAAGCTCGTCTCCTGACCACCTGCAATCAATCACCACATAATCTCCAAAAGATGCAGCTGGAGTTTAACTTGCCAGTTTGACTGATTGCAGCTTTGCCAGCATTACAATGAGGCAGAAGTACCTTTTCCACATCTCAGGCAAAGCAAAGGCATGAGACTTCAAACACACTGTAAACTGACCAGACTTAGAACAACTCTCCTACCATCGTGCTTGCTGATTGTTTTCCTTCAAGAGCAGTTCATCTGAGCAGTAAGCCAACAAAAATTGATTTCTATTTAAGTAAAAGACTTGTTTCTTTTAAAATAAATCAGTTTAAAAATACATGTTAAAACACAAGCTGTGTTTAAACAAAAATAACAGTATTGCCAAGGTTTAATGAACAAAAACATCATGCTGCATCAATAAGTTTTTTTAAAAATGTAGTGACTCAAAGAATGTTTACAAATTATTCACAGAAGGGGGTAAATCATCTTGTACTGCTGAGGCTAGCCCTACAAACATGCAAAAATTCACAGCATAACCTTTCTTTGAACAGAGTGAATGCTTGGTGAAAAATACTAATTAAACTGATATGGATGCAGATTTTCAAAAGTATGTAAGAATAGTTCACAGAAGGGATTAATAGAGATGTTGAGCAGACCATGAACAAAACACTTTTTTCTCCTCGCACCCCATAGAATTTATCAGGTACAGCTAAAATACATTTCAATAAAAATTGCAGGAACCCAGGACTTTAAAAGTTGCTTATTAATTAAATTCTAATTTTCACCTATATGTAATTCAATCACCACAAATTTAATGAGCAGCAGGTTATTAGTTTAGAAATCTGATTGTATTCGCAGTTTAGATCAGCTCTTTGCACTTGCAGGTGAGACCAGCTCTTTGCATTTATGAAACTTCAAATTAAATACAGTTCAAACTCATCTGTGGCTGAGACACATGAAGACTTTTAACATATCAACTATTCAGGTTTGATCTCCACCTAAGAAACCAGCTGCATTGCCATCTCTTTTGACTTTTCTTTCAAAGCTTTATGAAGTGTGAATTTCATCATGAGTTTAAAATGCTGCATGCCTTGCCTTTTTTTCAAAAAATTACTCGCTATACTTTACAGTCTCACAGTTTTAGACAGTTTGTCACATTTTATCAAGCCCACACATGACATATTTACAGCCCAGATCTGGCATTTCCATTGCTTTGATTTACCCTTCCCAGTTTCAAGATTTAGGCTATCACATAAGCCCCTTTATAAAATAAAACCAAATAGTAAAACAATTTTGGTAAGACCCAGTTTAGGCAGAAAGCCCAATCTGTGAACTTCTAATACTGCAGCCATAGCACAACAGCATCTGTGCTGTTCTCCCACCCACAGTGGTGAGCCTGGGGCTACAGCATCAACACAGAAATAGGTAACAAGACTCGAAACAGCTCTAGTTTGAAACACTTCTGTGCCTTCTCCTTCATCCCTCTATTTACTCTTGCCATTGCTCAGAAACACCTCATCAGCCCTTTTCCTGCTTCCTCTATGCATGTCATCAAGGTGGCAACTCCCTATCTTCTCATCCAGCAAGCTCTGAACCTCAAGTGATGGGAGTGCCAGACATGAAACTGGAAAAAATGGTCTCCACAAGAGTCTATACTGTAACAGAGGCTTCTCCTACCTTTAATGAGCGCTGGTGATGCTTGGATGGCAGAAGTTCAGATTTACTAGTTGCTATTCTTTAAATGCTACTTCTTCAGTGATACATATTTGGGTTGCTTAAGGTGCGTCCCCTTTCCATTGAGTTTTAGTTTGCAGAGTCATTTTTATGTGATTTTGCACTGTTTGGCCAATCAAGTTTAAATAACAGAGAATTGCAAGGACATTAACTCAGCATTTTGGAAATAACACTGTTTGTCACGGTTAAAATTCCCTTAAGCAGCTCAGTATACCTCTATGTTTGTATGAGAAAAAAGATCTTGCTCATGATGAGCAAGCATAAATAGAATCCCCTAAGGGTACAATTCAAATCACGCTTCTTCCAACTCATTGGCTTATCAACTTTTAATGATATCACAAGGCAATCTGATTTTGCCATGTACAGGAGATAAACCGATAAACATTCAGTAGTGCAAACTAAAATGCAGGGCGTGACGATGTTGTATCACAACCAGGGCTCCCTCTGAATAACTCGAGAGTCCTAAGGCGGAGCTGACATTCCACCTTTTATCATAATCCAGCAGGCTACAGCGCCTTGCTGCACGCAGAGACAACATTCAGCAGCTTTGCTCGCTACAGCTTCCCACTCCTCCGACAGTGGTGTGCCATTACCGCAGGACTTGACAGGGACCATTCAGAGTGTTGATTATTGCAATTAGAGCCAAACCCCCTAAAAGTCTTCTTCGTGACAATCAAGGAGAGGGGCCCCATCTTGTGGACATTTCCTATCCATCCAGGGAGGATGGCTGCGAAGCTGTTAAACACAGTGCTTTTAATGCAGTGCTGAAAAGCTAGCTATGATAGCCATCTGCATCAGATCTCACCTAGAGTTATGTCTGGGCTGAGCAGCTAGGGGTTATGTGCAGAAAACGCCTCCTTTCTTTCTCCTGAGGCAAAACATCCTCCCCTTTCCACAGGTGTGAGGAATCCTGCCTCAATACAGCTTTTAAAGACCTGGAGGAAAGTTTATGCACTGCCTGCAAACTCCTTACCTGTGCACTGAGGAGGGGGGATGAGGGGATTGAACTGGGATGAGGTCAGGGCATCCACCACCACCAAGGTCGACCAACCAAGCCTGGGAACAATTTATCGGGGGCCCCAGAAGCCATGGCACCCGTGGCCACGTGCTGTGAACGGCAGGAGAGCCTGGATCCCCAGCATGGCTGGAGACACCCTGTGCCAGCCCTGATGACCCAGCGCTCAGCACATTTGGAGAAGAGTACAGGCAGGCTTTCACACCTCTTCCGTAAAAGCTGTTTATACAGCCTGCAGCTGCATCCCACATGTGCTATCCCACAGCTACAACACCTGGCTCGTTACCTTCACCTAAGGAGGCTCCCCACTGAATGCTTATTTTTAAGAAGCTGTGTAGTATTTGGGAAAACAAACAGGAGAAAGCTCTTGCGCATGCAATGAGTGTTTCTAGCCCACTTCAAACAGGTTTTTAACACCAACAATGCAACTGGCATTTTTCAGTTCAGGACAAGCTACAGCAGACACTGCTTTCCCAACTCCCTCAAATTTATATTTTCCTGATTAGCAAAAGCTTCATCGTGCTTGCCCCTCGCCTCCCACAAAAATGACGTTATGTATGGCACTGCCTTCACAAACCCACAATACTTGGAGGACTTTTCTGAGGCCATGAAGGCACACAGGGACAGGAGTGGTGCCAAGGGCCTGGAGCTCTCTTTGGGGTACGTGGGAACGCTGCAGGATCAGGACCCGGACGTTTGGCTACACAGGATACAGCTAGTGACCATATACAGCCATCTGGGGACATGGGCTAACACAGACTTGGGTTATCATGCAGAAAGCACCAAGTCGGCACGAGGATTTTGGGTGTCAGAGGAGGTTTGGGGTTGAAGGCACCCCTGGAAGTCACCTCATCCAATCTCCCGCTGTGGGCCAGAACAGCTTCTAAGCCAGACCGCGCCACTCAAGGGCTTCACCCGGAGGGGTTTTGAAACTCTCCAAAGAGGGAGATTCCATCACTTCTCTGGACAGGTTGCTCCAGAGCTTGGTTGTGAAACATCCTCCCCTCCTCAGAGGTCAGCACTTCCCCTAACGCCTGCTGCCTCCTCGCCTTCCCCTGCGCCCTCCTGACAGGGCCCCCTCCACCGCCCCCGCGCCCCGCGGTGGGCGAAGGCGGCAGCAGCCCGGGGTC